CTAAACCCCTCAAACCTTAGTCCACAGTACACTTCGCGTAACAGCCGCCCTTTATGTTGAACACCCCCGAGCCGGACCAGACGTGCTCGTCGTCGCCCACCAGCTCGCGGCCAAGGGAAGCAGACTACACACAAACCCTAAACCCTAACCACAAACCCTAAACCCTAGCAATTCCAAACCCTAAACCCGTCAAACCATAGTCCACAGTACACTTCGCGTAACAGCCGCCCTCTATGTTGAACACCCCCGAGCCGGACCAGACGTGCTCGTCGTCGCCCACCAGCTCGCGGCCAAGGGAAGCCGACTACACACAAACCCTAAACCCTAACCACAAACCCTAAACCCTAGCAATTCCAAACCCTAAACCCCTCAAACCCTAGTCCACAGTACACTTCGCGTAACAGCCGCCCTCTATGTTGAACACCCCCGAGCCGGACCAGACGTGCTCGTCGTCGCCCACCAGCTCGCGGCCAAGGGAAGCCGACTACACACAAACCCTAAACCCTAACCACAAACCCTAAACCCTAGCAATTCCAAACCCTAAACCCCTCAAACCCTAGTCCACAGTACACTTCGCGTAACAGCCGCCCTCTATGTTGAACACCCCCGAGCCGGACCAGACGTGCTCGTCGTCGCCCACCAGCTCGCGGCCAAGGGAAGCCGACTACACACAAACCCTAAACCCTAACCACAAACCCTAAACCCTAGCAATTCCAAACCCTAAACCCCTCAAACCCTAGTCCACAGTACACTTCGCGTAACAGCCGCCCTCTATGTTGAAGAGCCGGACCAGACGTGCTCGTCGAGCCGGACCAGACGTGCTCGTCGTCGCCCACCAGCTCGCGGCCAAGGGAAGCCGACTACACACAAACCCTAAACCCTAACCACAAACCCTAAACCCTAGCAATTCCAAACCCTAAACCCCTCAAACCCTAGTCCACAGTACACTTCGCGTAACAGCTGACCAGACGTGCTCGTCCTCTCCCACAAGGTCACAGTCAAGACACGCGGACTCAACAAGAACGCTTAGCCCTAAACCCTAAACCCTAGCAATTCCAAACCCTAAACCCTAAAGCACAAGTCATGGAGAGTGGGTAGTGGGTAATGGTTCTGCGGTGCGTATTTGAGTGTGTCTGCGAGTGGAACTGGCTGCTGGAGTGCGTGACGCAATCGTTGAGGGCCTCTTAGGGCGTAGGATTTAGGAGGGTTCAGGGTTTAGGGTTTAGGGTTTACGAGGGTGGTTTTTCCGGTGCCGCTGAGCCCGAAGAAGAGCGTGACGTCGCCGCGGGGCCCCACGTTGCAGGAAGAGTGCAAAGGCAGAAGTCCTTTCTTTGGCATTAAATACATCATCAAAGTCAAAATTCCTTTTTTCATTTCCCCCGCATACTGCGTCCCCAAGATTACCATTTCCCGCTTTCCCAGGTGCAAAGCCACCGAGGTTTGGCTCGTGACCCCTGCGCACACACAAACCCTAAACCCTAAACCCTAAACCCTGAATCCTGAACACTGCGGCAAGTGCTCTGGGAGAGGAGAGAACGGGTCGAAGGGAGGGGCGGAGAGGCTCCACGCAATCAGAAACATAAACGCATCTCTGCTCCAGACAGTAGCTAGCTAGCTAGCTAGCTAGCTATATGCCTGGCTAGCTAGCTCGCTAGCTAGCTAGCTGTCTATCCGTCAACCTCTCTGCCTCCCCGCCCATCTAGCTAGCCATCTACCCACCTACCCCCCCGCATACCAAGCTAAGTACCCACTCATGCCTCCCCCCAGCTAGCTAGCTAGCTAGCTAGCTAGCCAGAGATCCCTACCTTCAGTAAATCTATTAGCAGGGAAACATCCCGCATTATAAATTGTGAAATCTGGTTCAAAGTCCCTGAGTTCCTGGGGAGAAGGCAAGGCGAGCTAGCTAGCTATATACCTCGCTAGCTACCCAGCTAGCCACCCAGCTAGCCACCCAGCCAGCCAGCTAGCTAGCTAGAGAGCCTTACCTTCAGTGAATCTATTAGCGGGGAAACACCCAGCGTTATAGATTGTGAAATCTGGTTCAAAGTCCCTGAGTTCTTGCGGAGAAGGCAAGACAAGCATGTTTTGCATGAACAGGGCGTGGTAGGCGCGGCTGGCTATAACGCGAATCTTCACTCTGTGGGCTGAGTCCCAGCCCGCGAAGCCGTCCACCACGTACAACTGGTCCTGCATGCAAGGCATGCAACTTCATTAATTTCTTTGAATTTGTTTCAATTTGTTCGAATTTGAATTGATATATTTGAATTCGTTTACTTTAGTTGAATTTGTTCAATTTATTTGAGTCATTTTGATGCATCTATCAACCCGCGAAGCCGTCCACCACGCACAACTGGTCCTAAATGCAACATTATTCAGCTCCATTTCTTTGAATTTGAATTTATTTGAATTTGTTCGAATTTATTTGAATTTAATTGAACTATTTTGGTTTATTTTGGTTTAGTTTGATACATTTGTGTTTATTTTTTGTTTATTTTGAATTTATTTTGGTTTGTTGTGGGTTGCTGTTTTGAATTGGGGCAGTTTTGGTGGTTGAAGGGTTTCGGGTGGGGATTGGGTGAAGGTGGAAATGGGAATTAAGATTTATTTCAAATTTAGTTTATATTTATTTCAAATTTAATTTACATTTAATTCAAATTTAACGACGAATCAATGAAGATTTGATGGAGACTTATTTCAAAATTAATTCAAATTCAGTTCAACACTGGCTCGAAATCAATCCAAAATTAATTCAAATTTAGTTCAAAATTAATTCATATCCAGTTCAAGCTTAATCCAGATTTATTTCAAAGTTAATGAAGATTTAATTCACATTTATTTCAAACTAAATTCATATTTAGTGAAGATTTAAGAAAGATTCAAATTCAAATTCAGATTCAGATTCAAATTCAGCTTCAGACTGAATCAAATTCAAATTCACATTCAAATTCAAATTTAAATTAATTTCAATTTCATTTCAAATTTAAATTCGCATTCAAACCAGTTTCACTTTTAAATTACTTTCGAATTCAAATCAATATCAATTTCAAATCAACTTCAAATTCAAATCGACTTCAAATTCAAATTCAAGTTCAAATTCAAATTAACTGCATATTGAAAATAATTCCGAATTTAAATTGAGATTGATTTCAAATTCAGATTAAAGTTCAAATTAACTTCACATTCAAATATAAATCAATTTCAAATTCAAATTTAATTTCAAACTCAAGTTCAAATTCAAGTTGAGTAGAAACCCAAATTAATTTCAAATTCAAATTCAAACAAATTTCAAATTCAAATTCAAATTAATTTCAAATTCAAATTCGAACTAATTTCAAATTTAAATTGAAATTAACTTCAAACTCAAGTTCAAATTAATAAAATCAATTTTAAATCAATTCAAATTTAGTCCAAATCTAATTCAGATTTATTTCAAATTTAATTCAAATTTAATTCGAATTTAATGAAATTCAAATTCAAATTTAATTCAGATTCAGATTCAGATTCAGACATAGATGCAGATTCAGATTCAGATTCGAAGTCAGATTCAAATTTATATTCAAATTCAAATTTAAATCTAAATTCATATTCAAATTAATTCCAAATTGAAATCGAATCAAATTCAATTCAGTGCAAATTGAATTCAAACTGATTTCAAATTAAATTCAAACTAAATTAAATTCAAATTAAATACAAACTAAATTCAAATTCAATTCAAATGCAATTCGGATTCACTTCAAATTCAAATTTATTCCAAATTAATTCCAATTTCAAAGCAATTTCAAATCCAAATTCCACTTCGAACTAATTTTAAATTCAAACTCAAATTCGAATTCAAATAAATGCCAAATTCGAATTAGTTTCAAATTCAAACTCATTTTAAATTCAAATTAATCTCACATTCGAATTCAAATTAATTTCAAATTCGAATTCAAATTAATTTCAAATTCAAATTCAATTCAGAAAGTGGAGTTGATTGTGAAAGATGAGGGGCAGAACCTGACTTAACTGGAATCCGAATTTAATTGAAATTTCACTGAATTTGAATTTATATTTAATTCAAATCTAATCTATATCTAATTCAAATCTAATTAAAACGAAATTTAAATCTAGATTATAAATTCAATTTCAACTTCAACTCAAATTAGATTCAATTTCAATTCAAGTTCAATTTAAATCCAAATTTTTATTCATTTCAATTTCAAAATGTTCAACATTTAAATATGCACAAAAATGGTGCTCCACGTTGAAAAGAAATCCTAATTCAAATTCAAATTCGAATTCAAATTTAATTCAAATTAAATTAAATTTGAATTGAATTTGGATTAAATTCAAATTTAATTCAAATTAAATTAAATTTGAATTGAATTTGGATTAAATTCAAATTTACTTCAAATTAAATCCATTTATGATGAAAGCAAACTCAGAAAGGGTTTCTTCGCCTCAAACTTGAATGAATTAAATTCGAAATTCAAAACGAGTTACTCGGACTTCAATTTAATATAATTCAATTAAATTCGATTCATTTTAATTTAATTTACTTCGGACGAATTCTCCCCAATTGAGCCAGGGTTTAGGGTTTAGGGTTTACCAGTGTTGAGTGTTTGGAACGCTGCGTCTTTAGGGTTTTGACCAGGCACTCCGAAATTAGGGTTTAGGGTTTAGGGTTTCCAGCGAGGCCGCGCAGCGGTGCACCTTCAGACTAGGGTTTGGGCTAGGGTTTAGGCTAGGATTTAGGGTTTGGGCTTGCAGCGAGGCCGCGCAGCGGCGCACGTCCAGGCCAGAGTTTCGGCTCGAGTTTCGGCCAGGGTTTGAGCTAGGGTTTAGGGTTTAGGGTTTAGGGTTTGGACCTGGAGGTTGAGGTAGTCGACGGCGCGCTCCCTGTTGGTCAAGTAGGCCCTTTCTTTCATTTTGATATTTACTTTCCCCCACCAAATGGAGTCACAACTTGAAGGCTCTTCGACGATTCTTTTGTCTGCGGGCGAGCGGCCCGTCTTCAGTCCTGAAGTTGAAATTCAAAACTTGAAGTTCGAAACTTGAATTTCGAAACTCCAACTTGTTTCTTTTCAATTCAGTTTCCATCGTTATTACTTTTACATTCTACTTCAAATGTCAAATGGCATTCAGTTTCTGCTGTTCAAGACTGATCTTTCAAATTCAAGAAACGCAATTCGTTCAAGTTGAATGTGCAGCAAAGGAGGATACAAATGTGGAGCCCACAAACAGCATATACGCACCGGCAATTTAAAATAGAAACAAAAAGCAATTTAATATTTGAAATGGATTCTCTGGATTTGAATAATCATAAAAGTACAATTCCGTTGAGAATTTGCGTTTTTGAATCTGGTTATTTTGATTGGCTCTTGCATAATCTTAGATCCAATTCATTTATTTGCTTGTTTATTTATCATTCATTTATTTTATTTATGAGTTGCTAATTCAAAGAGCTTTTCTCGTTGGCATTTATTTCTTAATTTCGCGCTTTCCGCTTTCTTCGCACCGCCATCAGCTGCCTGTACACCCCAGCTGGCCGCGCGCGCGCCGCAGCAACTGGGAAAGTTTTCATTTCTTTTCTTTTGAATTTTTGACATCGCCGCACCTGAGGAGACGCAGAGAGCCCCAGTGTTTGAAATAAAACTCATGGGCTCGTGTTTTAGAGCTTCTTCGTACAAGATCGCCGGACTTGTGTTGTGAAACAGGTGAGCCACTTTGATGCCTTTCTGCAGACAGCAGCAAACAATTCAAAACTTGGGAAAGAAGTTAAAAAGAATTAATAATGTGAAAAAAGATTTAAAATGGTATTTCGAGGAAAGATAGGAAGGGAAAAACAAGAAGAATGTCGGGAAATGGCGAAATGGGAAAAGACGAAAAACAACTTCTCAAGACAACCATCTCGCTCTCCACTTCGATCTTTATTCACGGCAGTTTAAAAATTGAAATTAATTTAAAGAATTCATTAGCAAGAAAAAGAAATTAATTCAAACAATTCATAAGCAAAAATGTTTAGCAAAAGAGCAGCTGGGGAGCCTTCTTTAAATCCAAAGGGAAGCAGCAGCAGCAAACGCTTCGTGCAGCTGCTGCTGCTGCTGCGTCACTTCTTTTTTCATTTCCTAAGTTCGTTCTTTCTTCTTCTTTGCTGCTGCTGTTGCAGCAGCAGCAGCAGCAGCAGCTCCCTCACATCCCTCCGCCCCAGCCGCCACTCAAAAGACTTGATACCCCTTTGACTTCCCCCCGCAAAACAACAACAACAACAAAAGCAGCAGCAGCAGCACCAACAGCAGCAGCAGCAGCAGCAGCAGCAGTAGCAGCAGCTAACTCCGTGGATGTCTTCTTGAAATTCGATTTCTTTTTGGAGCTGTCCCAAATCCAAAATTTCCTTTTTGGTTAAAGGACATTCCCCAGGTTTGTGGTGCGCCAAATTCGCGTCTATCTGTCTACGCAGCATTTCTAAAACACTCGCCGAAGCTGTGCTGCTGCTGCTGCTGCTGCTGCTGCCGCTGCTGCTGCTGCTGCTGCTGCTACTGTTCGTCATCTTCACCAGCTGGTGCACGGACGAACAAGTGCCGCGACGCTGCGGAAAGAACTGGGAGGTGCGCGGGCTTCTTGCTGCTGCTGCTGCTGCTGCTGTTGCTGCTGCTGCTGTTCCCGCTGCTGCTGCTGCTAGTGAGGAGGGGTGAGCGCAAGAATATATGCACGGTGGACGTACACCCAAGACCTGCAGCTCTCTCACGAAGCCCCTACGAGCCATTCCTAAACTGCGGCTGCTGCTGCAGCCGCTGCTGCTGCTGCTGCTGCTGCTGCAGTGGCGAGGCGGCTAGGGAGCTGATGACTGGCCCCGCAAGGAATTTGAATCTGAAAGAAAGAAGGAAATGAAAAAGGAAAGAAGAGGCGGAGGCTCGCTCAGGGCCACGGGGTGTACAGACAGCTCCCCCCGCGGCTGCAGGCGCGAGAAGCAGCAAAACACTCTTCAGATTTTTATTTTTCTTCGAAAAGCAAACTTCAACTTCGACAAACAAAAGCATTTGCTGCAGCAGCACTACACTCAAAGCAGCAGCAGCAGCAGCAGTAGCAGCAGCAGCGGCAGCTGCGGCGGGAGACAGCGTCTGCATGCACGATGCGCGAGACCTCAAACCCTAGCGAGATACCCCAAACCCTAAACCCTAAACCCTAAACCTTAAACCCTTTTGACAGTTAACAGCCGCCGAAGTGGCTCCAGTTTCGCTCTACAACTGACGAAGCACTCTCATTAGGGTTTGGGAGCGTCTAGGGTTTAGGGTTTAGGGTTTAGGGTTTGGGGTTTACAGGCGACTGCCGCTAACCGCCGTTCATCTCCCTCTAGCCCACCAGTTTATTCAACTTCAAATAACTTCAAATTAAAGGAATCTATGACTTCAAGTCCAGGGTTTAGGGTTTAGGGTTTAGGGTTTAGGGTTTGGGGCTTTCGCCTCCCAGCAACGACTCCAGCGTAGCAGTACCCCAGAACAATGGCCAACAGCTGCAGCTAGCTGGAGCTAACTGTGGCTAGCTGCAGCTAGCTGCAGCTAGCCACAGCTAAACTCAGCTAGCTGCAGCTAGCCGCAGCTAGCTGTGGGTAGCTGCACCTCGCTATGGCTAGCTGCAGCTAGCTGTGGCTAGTCACAGCTAGCTACGGCTAGCCGCAGCCAATTACGGCTGGCTGCAGTTAGCTATGGCTAGCTGCAGCTAACTACGGCTAGCTGTAGCTAGCCACGGCTGCTTCCAGCTGTGGCTAGCTGTAGCTAGCTATGGCTAGCTGTAGCTAGCTACAGCTAGCTGGATGTGCTGCAGCAGGATCTACCTGTGAGACGCCAAAGGGGCAGCCACAGTCAGCTGTGGCTAGCTGGGGCGCCAGCCGCAGCTAGCCGTAGCTAGCTGTAGCTAGCCACAGCTAGCTGTAGCTAGCTACAGCTAGCCACGGGTAGTCCGTGCTAGCAGCAGCTAGCCCCAGCTAACCGCATACCCCTCCAGGTAGCTCCAGCTAGCTACAATCAGCCCCAGCTAGCTACAATCAGCTACAGCTAGCTGCAGCCAGTCGCAGCCGGTCGTAAAGAACTAGCCACAACTAGCTAGCTGCTGTGGCTGGCAGCTAGCTGTAGCTAGCTGTAGCTAGCTGTAGCTAGCTGTAGCTAGCTGTAGCTAGCCGTGGCTGGCTGTAGTTAGCCGGAGTTAGCCGTAGCTAGCTGTAGCTAGCTGTAGCTATCTGTAGCTAGCTCAAGTTATCTTTCGCCAGCTGCGGCTGGTCACAGCTACCTGTGGCTAGCTGGCGTTCGTTGTGACTAATTGTAGCTAGCTGTAGCTAGCTGTGGCTAGCTGTGGCTAAATGTGGCTAAAAGTAGCTGTAGCTAGCTGCGGCTATCTGTAGAGTTAGCTGTGCGCGCTGCAGCTAGCTACGAACAAATGTGGGTAGCTGTAGCTAGCCGTAGCTAGCTGTGGATAGCTGCAGCTAGCTGTAGCTAGCTGTAGCTAGTCGTGGCTAGCTGTAGCTAGCTGTGGCTAGCTGTGGCTAGCTGTGGCTCAAAGGGTTTGCTGCGGACAAAAGCTTGGAAACTTTTTGTCTTGAACGTAGTCAGTGTCAGCCCGCGGGGTCTAAACTGAAACCCCGTTTTAGGGCTTAGGGTTTAGGGTTTGCCACGTGGATGAAAAAGCGAATCAAAGGCTCTTCCTTCTCTCGCACATCTCAAGAGCAACTTTGCGACTTTATTTTAAATCAAACAAATAAAATTGATTCATTTAGTAATTAATTAAATTAAGTAAATTAATTTAATTCAATTAATTCAATTCGAACTTCGAAAATAAATTCAACTTCATTCATCTCCAATCCACATCCGCTTCCTCTTCTGCAGCAAAAACCCATCAGCACAAACTCCCACTACCGTCTCCCGCTAGGGTTTAGGGTTTAGGGTTTAGGGTTTAAGGTTTCCCTGCGTCACCGCCGTCTCCCGCTAGCGTTTACGGTTTAGGGTTTAGGGTTTGTGGTTTACCTGCTTCGGTGCTGGCGGCCGTGGAATCGGAGTCTTGGTGGCTTCGGATGGATTTGAGGGTTTGGGGTTTAGGGTTTTGGCGTTTAGGGTTTGGCGAGGGTTTGGAAAGTGGGGTTTTAGCAGAAGTTGCAAAACCCTTTTTTTTCTCTTTTATTCCCAACTTCACAAAATCCCCCAAAGCCCTCTTCGTCTCCAAACCCCCAATTTCAAAAGTCTCTTCGTGGTCCCCCTCAGGGACTTCCACAAGAAACTTCTGCGAAGACCCGCACGCCTGCAGCAGCAGCAGCAGCAGCAGCAGCTGCT